ACAACATCAAGCGAAGCGAACACGTTTTTTCTCTCTTTCTTTATTTTTATGTCGTTCTCTCTCTCTCTCTCTCTCGCTCTCTTTTTTTTCTCTCTCTCTCTCTCTCTTTCTCTAATTTTCTTGGTGTTGCTTTATGTTTCTCTCTCTCTCTCTGTCTCTCTCTCTGTCTTTCTTTCTCCTCCTCCCTCTAGCGCCCTGAACTTGTTTATCGCTGGGGTTGATTATCCGGGGAAAACTAAGCACATGAACTACCCTACACGAGCAGATGAAAATTTCAATTGTCATTAAGCGCTTACATATTAAATCTAATAAGTTTTCAACTTTTGATTGTTGCTTCTACCTCCTGCTCTGCTTCTCCTGCTCTTCCTCCTTCTCATCCTTCTCCTCTTCTTTTTCTTCTTTCTTTATAGTTCTCTTTCTATGTATGTTTCTTTTGTCTCCCTGCCCGCTGAACCTGTTTATCGCTGGGGTTGATTATCCTTGGAAGACTAAGCACATGAGCTACCACCCCTACACGAGCAAATGAAAATTTTAATTTCCATTAAGCGCTTACAAATTAAATCTAATAGGCTTTGAACTTTGGATTTTTGCTTCCTCGTTCTTCTCTCCTCCTGTTGCTCTTTCTCCTTCTCGTTGAGGATGTCTCAACCGGGACAAATCATTGTTGAGGATGTTTCATAGAGGACCAAAGACCAAGGATCCTCAAGATATCTTTGGCTTTTTCCTCTTGATATCTCTTTATGCTGGCTCTGGCGGGCAACTTTTATTCTCTCCCCGAGCACCCCGAACGTTATTATCCCTGTGTGTTTAATTTTCGTGGCTCTCGGCTATTCTCTGGAAGGGCCTGCATCCAACCTACTTTATCCGCCTTCCTACTTCATGGTTTTACTTACTTCTTCCCACCCGCGTGTTTGTATATATATATATATGTATGTATGTATGTATATATATATATATATATATATATATGTTTCGGAGGTTGGGGGGTGAGATCGCGGTGGAACGGAAACCCCCATAAAGGGAATCGTTTCGCTTCGTTCGTGTCGTGCGCGCGGGCGAGGCCAAGCTGCGTGGGCGCGCGAGAGGAATAAACCTGCCGCTGCTAGGACGAAGCCAAGACAAATGATTAACCCCATGCCGAGGATGATAAAGTACCCCCCCTTAAGTCGTTAGAGTTTTTTTATCGTCGGCCTAGAAGGGTTTCAAATATATGCGGAGGGCGCGGAGGCCGAACTTCATTATCACTGGGAAAGTTCGCCATCGAGGTTACTTCCTTCTTATGTTGAGATAACAACATCAAGCGAAGCGACCACGTTTTTTTTCAGGATGTCTCAAGCGAAACCAATAATTTTGGGAGGCAGCCTAAAACCAAACGGTCAATATTTCAAGGATGTCTCGCTTTCTGTCTCTGTTGTTGTTGCTTTGTGTTGCTTTCTGTTGTGTTGCTTTATGTTTCTCTCTCTCTCTCTCTGTCTCTCTCTCTCTCTCTGTCGTTCTTTCTCCTCCTCCCTCTGGCGCCCTGAACTTGTTTATCGCTGGGGTTGATTATCCAGGGAAAACTAAGCACCTGAGCTACCCTACACGAGCAGATGAAACTTTTTATTGTCATTAAGCGCTTACACATTAAATCTAATAAGTTTTCAACTTTGGATTTTTGCTTTACCTCCTGCTCTGCTTCTCCTGCTCTTCCTCCTTCTCATCCTTCTCCTCTTCCTTTTCTTCTTTCGTTAGATTTCCCTTTCTATTTTTTTCTTCTTGTCTCCCTGGCCCCCTGAACTTTTTTATCGTTGGGTTTGATTATCCTTGGAAAACTAAGCACATGAGCTACCCCTACACCCCTCTGTCTTCGGCGCCTCAAGCGAAACAAGCAGTGATTTCAAGGATGTCTCAAGCGAAATAAGCAATACTTTGAAGACGTCTCAAGCGAACCAGACAAATATTTCGAGGATGCCTCAAACGAAACAAGCAATTCGTTGAGGATGTCTCGACCGAGACAAATCATTGTTGAGGATGTTTCATAGAGGACCAAAGACCAATGATCCTCAAGATAACTATCTTTGGCTTTTTCCTCTTGATATCTCTTTATGCTGGCTCTGGCGGGCAACTTTTATTCTCTCCCCGAAAACCCCGAACTTTATTATCCCTGGGTGTTTACTATCCGCGGTAAGGGGTTACGAGTAATAATAATACTTATAATAATAATACTAATAATAATAATGGAGGAGGAGGGGGAGGAGGTGGAGGAGGAGGAGGAGGGGGAGGAGGGGGAAGGCAGGCGACATGCGGAGAGGACGCCCGGGCAATGCCAGGGCGGCGAGGCGCGCTCGGCCCTCGCGCGAGGTCGGCGGTCTCCGGGGTCCACGCCTCGCGCCCTCGCGGTTGGGGCGCCGGGGCACGCCGCCGCGGCCTCGTACAGTCGGGTCGCTGGACTAAGGAATAATTCGTGTTCGGAAGGGGCTCGATGTTCCTTATGCCCTTCCATGGCTGTTCCTCCAGCCCCTCCTCGTGTACGCAGGCGCTTTCGGGGCCCAAACGGGGCCTCGTTCCTTATCTGGCGTTCCTTATTGGAGAGGCCTGACGGCCGGTGCCGCCAACCCTGATCGAAAGGGCTAGGAGTGGGGGGAGGAAGCGGAGGATGAGGATGAGGAGGAGGAGGAGGAGGAGGAGGCGAGAAAGGAGGAGCAGGAGGAGGAGGAGGAGGAGAAGGAGGAGAAGGAGGAGGAGGAGGAGGAGGAGGAGGAAGTGCATCTTTTGTGTGCCCGCTCGAAGAAAGTGCGCCCCGGGAGTGTGATAATCTGACTTGGGACGTGGTCCCGGAAGAGGAAGAAGTGCATCTCGGGCGTGCCCGTTCGATATTTTGACTCGGGGCCCGCTCCCGGGACGCCTCTTCGGGAGGAGGAATAGGAGGAGGAGGAGGAGGAGGAGGAGGAGGAGGAGGAGGAGGAGGAGGAGGAGAGAGGGAGGACGAGGAGAGGAGGAGGAGGAGGAGGAGCAGGAGGAGGAGGAGAAGGAGGAGAGGAGCAGGAGGAGGAGGAGGAGGAGGAAAAGGAGGAGGAGGAGGAGGAGGAGGAGGAGAAGGAGGAGGAGGAGGAGGAAGTGCATTCCGTGCGTGCCCGCTCGAGGAAAGTGCGCCCCGGCGGGCGCCGTATCTGCCCCGGGCCCCCCCCCCCTCCCCCCCCCCCCCCCTGCGGGGAATGGATCAAAGGGAAGGGGCTTCCTCCACTACGACGTCGTTTAATTTCGCTTTGGATAGCGCGCTTGAGGAGGAGAGCCCTGGGAGGGGGAGAACGGAGACGACGGAGACGACGAGTCGAACGGAGAAGCCCCTCACACACGCCGACAGGGTCGGCGGATTTCAGCGGCCCGACTGTAAGGCGGGCGTGTCCCTCGACGAGCCGTCAGTCCACGAGGAACAGTTGTTCCAAAGTAGGCCCAAAGAATGGTCTTGGAGCGATGTTGTCGGCTCTGCTTCGAGTGTTTTGAAATGTTCGTGCAACATCCGCTCGTAGTGTAGGGGGGCATGCCCGACCAAACACGGGCCGTAGGAGGCTCCACTCGGCGTCGGCGCCCGCTTCCGCCGCCCCCCGCCCTGCCTCTTCCCCTCGCCCCTGAGCGGCGACATCCGGGCCCTACCCTCGCCCATCAACGGTTCGGTCTTTTTGATGGGCGGCGGGGGTTGGGGTCCGGAACTCGTCGAGCAGGCGGCGAAAACTGAACCCTGCCCACGCCTCCCATCGATCCAACAGCATCGATGGTCGGGGGGGGTAGGGTTCGGATGTCGCCACCTCCCCCTCACCTCTCCCGCTCTCTTCCCTCTCCCACTCCCCCCCCCCTCTCCTGGCCAGGGCCGTCTGGAGACCCACGTGCAGGGGCTGTGCTGACCTCCTCGCCTGCCGGGCCGCCCCCCGCGGACCGCAGCGGCGACGGACCGCACCGGTGCTCTGGCGCGGCGGGGCGGCGGGCCCACCCTCGAAGAGGCACACACTGCATGCGGCAGGCCCGCGCCGCGCTGACGCGGCGGTGGCGCCAGCTCGGGCGTGAAGGGTGGGACGCCCGCGAGTGGCCCAGAAACGGCCGATGCCGACAGATCGGTGGCACCGGGAAGCCAACGATCGTTCGGGTTGGAACGAGCCACGCGGTGGCAGGCACCAATGTCGACGTCAACGCGGCGTGACCCCGCCGTAAGCATCAGACGCTCGGAGTTCCGGCCGGAGCGCGCCAGGGGCGACGCCGGAGGCGCCGCCAGGGGTGCCCCAGCGCGGATTCAAGAAGCCACCGCGGAGATCCGAAAGTTTTTGTTTGTGCAGTCTTTTGTGCCTTCATTCCCACTTCGCGGCTCTCATCGGTACCACGTTTTGGCTCAAGGTGTGCCTCAGCAGAGGCGCTCTGTGCACGATTCGTCCGCGAGCCAAGGAGGCGCCTCAGCTCTCAGAGGTTTTTGTCCGATGGCCTTGGCGGAGAGCACCGCAATGCTGTCCACGGACGAGGTGGCCAAGCATAACACGAAGGATTACTGCTGGGTGGTGCTCTACGGCAAGGCTTACGACCTGGGGAAGTTCGCCAAGGTGCACCCCGGCGGTGCCAAGCTGATTTTCGACTGCGCCGGGAAGGACGCCACCGCCGTGTTCGACCCCGTCCACCTCAAGGATATCATGCAGAAGTTGCTGAGGCCCGCCCTCACCATGGGCGTCGTGGACCCGGCCACCATCAGGGACGATCACAGGTCGCAGCCGCCGGGGAAGGCGGCAGCTGCGGCTCCCGCCTCAACGAAGACGGCGCTGGCGGTCGGGGACGGCGAGGCGCAGGTCGTGGAGTTCGTGAAGCCGCCCCTCGCCGCGGTGCTCAACACGGTCGACTTCGAGCCGGTGGCCCGGGAGGTCGTGGAGCCGCAGGCCTGGGGCTACCACTTCAGCGGCGGTGACGGCGAGATAACTTAACCCTGCGCGACAACCACATGGCCTTCCAGCCCGCGCCTCCTCGTCAACGTGAGCGACATCGACATGGCCACGAGCTCCCTGGGCGTGCCGGCCGCGTCGCCGTTCCACTCCACCGCCACCGCCCTCACGAAGCTGGCCCACCGGGAAGGCGAGGTGGCCATCGTGAGGGCCGCCAAGAAGGCGGGCGTCCCGTACACGCTGCCCACCCTCAGCTCTTCCCCATTGGACGAGATGCTGGCCGCGCGGGAGCCCGGCCAGGAGGTCTTCCCGCAGCTGTGCGTGAGCCCGGAGCGCTCCTGGGGCGCAGGAGCGCGTGGAGAAGCTCGAGCAGCAGGGCGTGCGCGCCCGCTTCGCCGCCGCGGACGCGCCCGCAGCCCGGGCGGCGCGAGCAGGACGTGCGCAACAAGTGGACCCAGCAGGGCTCCGACGTGCAGGGGGACGACGAGGACGAGGGCGAGGTGGACCGCTCGCAGGGCGCCACCCGGGCGATCAGCAGCTTGATCGACCCCAGCCTCAGCTCGGGGGCGGAACAGAGGGGGGTGATGACCAGGGGGGGGCGGATATCATGGCGTGGGCCATGGTAGTTCCCCAGATCTCATGGCGCCTCTTCTTCTTTCATGACGTTCCTGGTCCCCCCTCTGGGCCGCGCACGTGCCGCCGGCCATGATTTGCGCCCCCCCCTCTTGGACACCCCCCTCTTGGCCGCCCCCGATCAGCTGGGACGACGTGCCCACTGGCTGCAGTCCATCACCAAGGTGAAGGTCCTCCTCAAGGGCGTGCAGTGCGGCGAGGACGCCGTGCGAGCGTGCGGCGCCGGCCTCGCCGGGTGCGTGTTCTCCAACCACGGCGGCAGTCAGCTGGACACCTACCGCTCCAGCATCGAGGTGCTGCCCGAGGTCATGGAGACCCTGCAGGCGGCGGGCTACAAGAGGAACGACTTCACCGTCTTCATCAACGGCGGCATCCGGCGGGGGGGGGACATCTTTCAGGCCGTGGCCCTCGGCGCGGCCGCCTGCGGCGTCGGCCGCCCCGTCCTGTGCTCGCTCGCCTCCTACGGCGAGAAGGGCATCGTGCGGGCGCACATGCTGCAGGACGAGCTGCAGATGGTGATGCGCCTCAGCGGCACCGCGAGCATCGCAAGCATCACGCCCGGCCACGTCATCACCAGGAACCCGGCCGACCACATCGTGCCGCTGCCGCAGGACCACCTGGTGCAGGGCACGTGCGCCGCTGATGCCGTGGATCGAGGCTGTGAGAGCGCGGCCCACCCGGCGCGCGGGCCCGCCTCCTGAGCCCAGGGGTGGGCGGCGGCGCGCCCGTAATTGGGCGTCAGCCGGGGTCGGACCCCTCCCTCTGCTGCAGTGCACCGGCTTCCGACGACTGTCGAGAGGTCTGGCGAGGCCGATCGGCCGTTTTTGTTTGCCGCGCACCTTTCTCCGGCGCTGCCATCGAAACATAGAAAAAGGGCGTGAAGAAGCGATGGGCGTGTTTTCCACCACCACACCACCATAAGTTGGAGGCTTCCGACGACTGTCGGGAGGTCGGGCGAGCCGATCGGCCGCTTTTTTTTTTTGCGCGCCAGTCTTCCGCGCTGCCATAGAGAAAAATAGACAAAGGGCGATAAGAAGAAGCGATGGGCGTGTTTTCCACCACCACCACCGTAAGTTGGAGAGGGGAAGGAGGAAGACGAGATGAAAGAGGACGAAGAAGAGGAGGAGGAGGAGGAGGACCTCCTCCCCCTCCAACTTATGGTGGTGGTGGTGGAACACAAGCCTGTCAAGGAGTGGGGGAGGGGAGACTCATTATGTGCCCTCCGCCGCGAATTCGACTCAGCCATTCGGGCTTGGCGCGGCGTTGCTAAGCCAAGCTGCGCCCCAACATTTTTCCCTGCACGTCTGGCGCGGGCTGATACTCCTGGTCTATTCAGCAGCCAGAAGTTTGGCACGATGGCTTTTTCGTTGGTCCTATTCGAATGGAGAGGCAGGTGTCTGAGGCATGAGCTTTTCGGCCTCGTTTCGCCCTCTTCGCTCTCAGGATGCATCTTCTGGCTCTGACGGTCGTTTTTTGGCATCGGTTGTTGCTGGCGCTTTGGGGACTGGTTTCCTCGAGCGCTGCGCTGTGCAGGGAGCTTTCCGTTGCCGCTCCAGTGCTTGCCAGCCGGCATCCCTCACGTTCGGCGCGGCGCCTCCGTCGACAGCAAGGCGACAAAATGGACGCGGTGTGTACCCCGCAGGCTCGACGAGAAACCAGCGAACAAAACATGTTTCTCCTCCTCCTCCTCCTCCTCCTCCTCCTCCTCCCTCCTCCTCCTCCTCCTCCTCCTCCTCCGCCTCCTCCTCCTCCTCCTCTCGCGTCAGCTCCTCCTCGGTCTCGAGCGGGCGTCCCGCCCTGGCGCTCCCGGCCTCGCCCCGCCAGGTCTTGACGAACCGCTACGGCACCTTCCTGACCGACAACGAGCGCGAGCGGAACACCCTGGCAGCGTCCCACACGATGTCTCTCTGGTCGCCACGCTCTCCTACCCCTCTTCCTTCTTCTCCTCATCCTCCTCCACTCCTCCTCCTCCTCCTCCTCCTCCTCCTCCTCCGCCTCCTCCTCCTCCTCCTCCTCCTCCTCCTCCTCCTCCTCCTCCTCCGCCTCTCCTGCCCCTCTTCATCCTTGCACTCTGATGGCGCCAGGTCTGTCTCCTCCTCCTCCTCCTCCTCCTCCTCCTCCTCCTCCTCCCTCCTCCTTCCTCCTCCTCCTCCTCGAGGTCATCCATGCCATCCCCCACAATCCGCTCCGCACAACCACAACCCGCCCCGCACAACCACGCTCGCCCCCTCCCCTCCGCACTTCCCCCCGCGGGGGGGGGGGGGGGGAAACGGTGCACGCCGGGAAGAGCTGTTCCGCGACGCCCCCGAGCAGGGCGCCCTGCTGGAGCCAGGGCGCCCGAGGCGGCCTTCGTCCGGGCAGAGCTGCCGCCCCGGCCGGCGCGCACGCCTCTCGGCAGACAACAGCAGGACGTGTCGGGAGCGAGAGGAGGACGTCGTTCGGGCCGGGCGAGAGGGGGCGATTCCCAGATGGTCTGGTACCGGAAATTTTCGGTAGCGATTTCGACGCACCCCGAATTTCGGTAGCGACCGGATCTTCGTTCGAGGGCGTTGAGATAGCGGGTTTCAGAACGCTCTGATACCGGTATTGGGCGCTACATTTCGGTATTTCGGTAGCGACCGATCTCTGCGGAGCGCTACCGGAAATTTTCGGTAGCGGACCATCAGGGTTGGGAAAGGGGGGGTTACGACATTTGCTGCACGCAGCTGGTTTCGGCCTCACCGAGGGGCCCATTCCTCGATGCATGGCCGCCTCCGGCGCCAGGAGGCGCCGGGGAAACCAGCTACGTGAGCCGATTCTCAACCCCCCCTTGCTATCCCCCCCTTTCGCCCGACCCGAGTCATGAATCCGCCCCGGTCTCGCAGTGCGCGAACGTCTGTGACACGAGGCCGGCTTTGCGGATTGGGAGGCCGTGCTCATTGTGCGTGGTTGGGCGCGTGCGTCCTTTGTGGGCTCCCAGTCGGTGTGATCGGCTGCCAGGGTGAGCGCGCTCCGCCCTCGCGCTCCGGCCCCTCCGGGCCTCCCGGCCGGGCCCGCCTCGGAGCCCTGGCCGGGGCGCGCACGGGCGCAGTGGCACTGGCACCTCTCTGTGCCTCCGTCGCCCTCCCCTGCCGCGAAAGGGAGCCTGCACTGCGCTTCTGCGAGGCGGGGCCTCTTCTAGGGGGCCGCCTGCGAACCCTACCCCTAACCCCCCACGATTTCTGAGGGGGAGGGCGGGGTTCCCTTCGCTCGGGAGCTCCCGAGCGAAGTGAACCCCACCCTCCCCCTCAGGAATCATGGGGGGTAAGGGTACGAGCGATGGCAAGGGGCAGGGTTCGCATGCGGCCCCCTCTCTTCTCCGTCCCGCGCCGCCTGCGAACCCTACCCCTGACCCCCCACGATTTCTGAGGGGGAGGGCGGGGTACCCGAGCGAAGTGAACCCCACCCTCCCCCTCAGAACTCGTGGGGGGTATAAGGGCAGGGTTCGCATGCGGCCCCCTCTCTTCTCCGCCCCGCGCCGCCCCAGTCTGGCTCGCGCTGTGCGCGGGCGCGCCGCTGCAGGCCTGAGGCCTGGGAGAGAGCAGCGCTCTCCCTTGGGGGAGGGGGCGACCGGCCCGAGGCCCAGGGCCCCAGCGTCGAGCCACCGAGCCAAAGCCCCGGCGTGATACTTGCGTTCCCATAGCGTCGACCCCCAGAGGGAGGAGGAGGAGGAGGAGGAGGGGGAGGAGGAGGAGGAGGAGGAGGAGGAGGAGGAGGAGGAGGAGGAGGAGGAGGAGGAGGTTTCGACCCCTGTCCTTTGGACGCCCGAAATGGGTACGGAAAGAGTGGGCGCTGTGCTCAACAACAAATGTTGTCCCAAACCAACGGTGGCCGTTGTTGAGCAGGCGGCCGTTTGTCTGGAGTGGACTCAGGCCGCGGCGGCGCGGACAGCGAGTCCTGTTCGACATGAACAGGAACTGCTGTTGGGCATTGTGCCCATTCTTTCCGTACCCATTTCGTTCGTGCCGATGTCCTGGGTCCGGTTTTTCTCGCCGATCGCGTATCACTACTCGCAAAGTTCCTACTCGCAAGCGTCCGAAAAACGCATGTCTGTTTCGATGTACTTTCCCGTAGATCCGCCGCGGCGGATCCGGGCCACTTGCGAGTAGTTACTTTGCGAGTAGTGGAGCGCGCTTGTCTATTTTCGTTCTGAGTCATTCTTTGACGGTCCCGAAGCCTGCCAAGGGCTCCCAGAGGCCGCCGACCCCCCAGGGGCCCAGCCTTGCCCGGGGGCGGTTCCGCGCGAGGCGCGAGCGCGAGCTGCCGCGGCGCGCGGCCCGACGCGGCTGCCGCGGCGGGCGTCCGCGCGGCCGCGCACGGTCCAGCGCGCCCTTCGGCGCGTACGGTCCGGACGCGCACGGACCGGCGCGCTCGTCAATCTCCCGCGGGTGGGGGTGGGGGGCGCCTCCTCCTCCTCCTCCTCCGCCTCCTCCTCCTGCTCCTCGCGCAGTGCGGGCGAAGCGGTCTCTCCCGCGCCGCCCGCGCCGCGCTGCGCCCGACGCGCGACGCAACGCTCGTCGCTCTCCCCGGGGAGGGGGTTGTCGTGGGCAACAATAGGGGGGGGGTAGGCATAGGGGCGGGTGCATCGACCCCCAATCGCCCATGGATCGCCGATAGGGGCCCGATAGCCCCAACCCGCCCAGGAAGGTGCGGGTTCGCTATCGGGCGCCTATCGCCGATCTATCGGCGACGTATCGCCGATTCCAGGTCGATGCATCCCCCCCTATGCTAAAGTCTGGCCTGTCCCTCCACAGGGGGAATATCCAAAAATAGTCCAAAAATAGTCGAGGGACGATTTTGTCTAGTATGTTTGACTACTTTGGACAATTACTGTACTATTTCGGATCCTTCGTCCAGGATCCGCCTGTAGGGGGACATGCCCGGCCTACCCCTATGCCTATCCCCCCTGTGCCTAACAAGCAGTGGCATGAGCATGCAAGCTCTCAGCCACGTGCAGAGGGGGGTGCGGGGAGGGGGAGGGTTTCTTAGAAGCATCTCTGCTTCTTACTTAGAAGGCGGGGTCCTTCTCTATTGATGTAAGGTCGGTGCCTTCTAAGAAGCAGCCTCCTTCTAAGAAGCCCTCCCCCCTCCCTCCACCCCCTTGTGTGCGCCGCCAGATGAGCATGCAAGCTCGGAGGTCGCGCGGATTCCTCGCATCGGCGCCGGGCCCCCCCGGCGGCGCCTCAGGGCGCCGCCCCTGGCGCGCCCCCCCCCGCGCGCCCGGGGGAGGGGCCCCGCCTCCGTCGCCCCTCCCCTCCGACGACGACGACGCGATTTCGCCCCCCCCCCCCCCCCCCTGTGCTTAACCGCAGGTGGTCTTTGGTGGTGCCCCCCCGCCCCCCCTAAGCTTGCGGCGGAGAACAGGAGCTCGTCCCTCCTCCTCCTCCTTCCCCTCGCTCCTCCTTCCCCTCCGTCCTCCTCCTCTTCCTCCTCCTCCTCCTCGTCCTCCTCCTCGCGATCGAGGAGGAGGAGGAGGCCGCCAGGCGTTGAGCGATGGGATTTTTGAGCACTTCTCATGACCTCTCATGCATCTGCCGACGAGAACAATTCATTTCCAACTATTGTCGGGGTCCCAATCCGTCAATAAGCCTGCGGACAAAATATTAATTTTCCCATTATTGCCCGGCGGGGGTTTACTAGTGGCATGCGTGCCCTGGCTCTTGCACAAAGGAGCTGCGAAGGACTGGAGGCCCAGAGGGACGAACCACCACAAACCACTACCAAAATAAAGGATTCCGCGGTCCAGGGGGGTTGCCCTGGGAAGCCTGGACGGAGGAAGGCTCCCAAGGGGAGGTGGCCCAGGGGAGCTGGGGCTCAGGCTCAGGAGGGGGCCCAGAGGGACGAACCACCACGAACCACGACGAAGGAAAAAGGGTTCCGCGGCCCAGGGGGGCTGCCCTGGGAAGCCTGGACGGAGGACGGCTCTCAAAGGTGGGTGGCCCAGGGGAGCTGGGGCTCAGGCTCAGGGGGGGGCCGAGGGGGACGAACCACCACGAGCCACGACGAAAATA